TTCTACTGGGGAAATGTGGCCATGTGAGAACAGAACTCGCCCTGGTTGTTCCAGGAAAAACAGTTGCCAAGCACTCAAAGGTTCTTCTGCATTTCTTATCAGTTTTGCAAGATAAAACTACAGATGAATGTTACTTCCCCCAGAGTGGAAGTGTCATGTCCAAACAATGCACTGAGCAAGCTTGCCAGCTGTTTTCCTATTTGAAGAATCTGAGGTACAGAATTTAACCTAACTTTGTTTCCCTCTAAAAGTATTTCTTTGCAAAGGTGGCATAATTCCACATTTGTATTTTAATTCTAAAGCAAATGCTCCACTGCACTTTTTATTAAAATGAAATCTGCTGTGTGCAGCCTGGTGTTAAATGAGAGACTATTAAAGCCAATCAGTGGAGAACTCATTAGAAACCCTACAACAACAAACTAGTAGTTATGGCCCAGCATTCACAAGCAGCCATGACTACAAGGAGAAAGAATCCAGGTCTCATTGAAGGCTACAATAAAACCACAGCTTACGTAGCCCGAAGACTGTGAATATCCATACAAAACAGCTGAGCTTCCATTCCTCAAATATGTGCCAGAAATTATATTCTTTTCTCATGACTCATCTCTGAATTCCACTCCTAAGAATACTCCTGTCATTTAGTTATTTCTTCCCATTTCTAAAATGTAATGAGAAGCACCAATCCAGAGCTCAAGGAAATCTGTCCCATCAATTAAAATAACGAAATAAGCAGAAGGCTGCCTATAAACACATCCACCTCTTCCCACTCACTCCTCAGCAACCATGGTGAAGGGAAAAAGATGAGCTTTGTGGGATGCCTGGAAGCCTAGCAACTCTCCTAGGAAGGGCCAAGAGGTAAGAACTCCTCATCTGAGCATTTCCTTCCCAACCTTTGAGATCTTCTCATCCAGTAGAAAAGAGCAGAGCACACAGTGGTTTTGCTGGGTGCCCAGAAGACCAGATAGTGGGATAACTATAGACTTGGTAGACTGAAATATTCAGATCAGATTTTTTTCTAGGACAATGAAGGAATAAATGAATAGGTAATTATTACAAACAGAACAAAGAATTAAAGACTGTAATTGAACTGGGAAACAGCATTTGGATATTTGGACTCCAAATTACCACCTAAGCCTATTATCAGCATAAATTGAGATAAATCCCTCACTAGAGGAAAAATTCCTCAAAAATCATTCAAAAAAGATAACTAACAAACCTTGTAGAACAAAACTCTCCCAAAGCATCATTTTGCTACTCTTTAGTGGAGTTATCTCATCAGCAGGTTCACTTACTGGACAAAAGCCAGAATGTTCAATGGTCGTGATCATACTTCTGCAGTTCCAGTCTAACACAAAAGAGAACCAGTTTCAAAACAGACAGAAGCAGTTGCTATGCGACCATTAGTGATACAAGAAGATGCAGACCAAACACCTACATTGTCAAGAAATGGCATTTAGATTACAGTCTGTCTTGTTTATTTTTGTACTTACAGCCATACTTCAAATGAAACTTCGTTTGCACAAGTTCTTGCAAAAATGAACAAGTGTCAGTGTAAAAAGGTGGAAAGATATGGAGAATCTGAACAACATTCAGTTCATTTTCTCCTTACTCCATTATATACCCACATCAACCACTGATACCATGTTGAGCAAAACCATTTGATTTTAGCTGCATTCAGAACAACTGCTCTTTTAGAAAGACAAGTGAAAAAACTAAGAAATGGTCAGAGTTCAATGGAAGAGCTTGGGAAATGACTAATTCACAGTCAGTGTATAGTGTGCCCCAGCTGAACTAAATTGCACATTTTTTTAGTTGGATGTGTCACTCTCCAAAGAATAAAATGGGGAAATTCCTTTATTGCTTTGCCTCCCCAGCTATGGATTTGAAGTAAATTGGACCCCTTTGGATTACCTTCAAGAGTTTCTGAAGCAGTAGCTATGTGGTGATGCTTTATCTGAGGTCACATACACATACACTTTGTCTCCCCAGACATTAAACCCTCATACATGCATTTCTCTACTCTGTGTAGGCATGTGGAGGGGGAACTTTAAGTTACAGATGGCTGAATATAGTATTTCTGGGTTCAGAGCAAGGCTAAAATTAGCTTTCCAGAACCTGCAGTCCAGTCCAAAATGAGCCAAGCCAGCTGCCAGACATGCAGGTATTGCTGCTACGTGGCGTGCACAAATACTGTGGGATCCTAATAGATGGAAGGAGTTAGGAAAAGTATGAAGTAGCCAGGTCTGCAGAATCTGTAATATCCCACACAGACAAAACATATAATCAGAATTTTAAAGCTTAGCACATAGCAAATTCCAGCAAATTCAATGGAACTTGAAGGTATGAACACAGATTACAGCTATTAATCTCTGTGGGTTTTGGCTCAGTGAGGTAAACTCACATCTTCATGATTGCCTCCTTCCATATCTTGTGCTTCTCCTCTACCTCTTCTCCACAGACTTCAGGCATGAGGCTGAGCTTGAAGCCATCCAATTTCTATTGAACCCTTCAATTTCTAAAAGCAATGGCTTATTTCAGACACCACTAGCTTTTAAACTTCAAAAGGTGCCTGAAAGTAATTTGACTTAAATAAAAAACTAAGCACCCAACTCACTGAAGTCAAACTTTTTAACCATCTCTCTTGGAAATACAGAGTGTGGAGACATGGAGAGGTGGGGGGAAAAGGAGGCAAGGTCAGAACCCCTTCACAGGCCAGCACCATGTGAGGAAAATTTGCACTGTGCTCACAAGTAACTACAAAAGTGTAATTAACTACAAAAGGGTAATTATTTTTTGAGTTAGCTCAGGTGCCTGCAGCTATCTACACAGTGGCACAACAGAGCCTGGCACTGAATAATTTGACTGTGTTTCTCAGTGAGACTGATGTCAGTACCCAAACTAAGCTGGGAGTATCTACACATATTGGCACTCATTCCTGTGAATGCTGCACCCAGCGCCAACAAGGGCGCAGTAACAGCATGATTCGGGCCACAAAGGTGAAAAGAAAGCTAAGATCTTCACAAGTGATAAAAACTGCTTCCATGTGGGGTGCCAAGGCTACAGGGCATATCTACACAGCACAACAGTGCTGGCATATCTACACTCAAGAGTCTCTGAGCTGGCAAGTTCTAAACAATGCAAAAAGGTGCTATGCAGAGAGATCATGTTGGGTCCTTGAAGCAGCAGAGCTCTATGGGTGTGATGTTATGCACAGGCTAACAGAGCGTCAACAGAACTCATTAGCAGAAGGTCTCTGCAGAACGCTGCATCACATAGCAGAGAAAGTTTTGTTTTCTAGATAATTGCTGAAAAGACACAATAGAGCTTCCCCCAGAAACCCTCCTCATTTGGAAAGGTAGAACAAAAGCCTGCTTTGATGTTACTTCTCATTACTTTGTCTACACTATATATATTTTCCCTGCTTAATCATTTCAGTGATGACTCAAAAGAGCAGCAGAAAAGACCCTTACTCCTAAGCCTAGCTGGGAAGGAAAGAGATAAAAGCTTTGGGCACCTTTTGGTAGTTTCAAAGCCTACATAGAGAAAAAAACAGCATGGGTAAGAGGAAGTAAAAGCAATAAGACCTGGCAATATGCCAATGGATCATAGTGACAAAAAACAAATAGCAATATGGGTAATATATTGGGCCAAATAATAACATTCTCACACAGTCCCCAAAGTTCAGGCAAAGCAAAAATCTGCTTCCTTGTCCCTTTGTCCCTCTATCTGCCTAGTAAAGTTGACAGTGAGGGGTCACAGCATGCAGAACAATCCATCACATTTGCACTGCTCAGTGATTCAACATGACAAATGAACAAAGACACTGAGCTCTGTGTGGCCTGATGGCTACTGCCTGGATTCTCCTTTTCTCACCACAAAGGATCTAATATGTCCAAGGATTTTATATGTAAAACACTGGACAATGACAGCTGAGCAGATCAGGGGACATCTGGATTCCATGTCTAATTATCTGGGTTGCTTTGCTACATGCTAAAACTCCATCTGGAACAAAAAGGAACATTTAGTAATCAGAGTGCTGCTCTAGAGGTTGCTCCACCACAAGCTTCTTCTATGCCCTTAAAGAGATGCTTTAGCACTGTTTGTTGGGAAAATTTGAATTTGGATAAAAAGAAGACATTTATTCAAACAGGTTTTCCCCTATATTTAAATACCCTTTTCTATTTGGAAAAATGTGCTGTTCTAATCGAGGTACTAGGCTTTCTGCATAAGGTACACAAGAAAGAACAGTACCCAAAACACCCAGCAGACAACAGCCAGTGAACTGTCAAAGAGCAGGGTGTCAGCACAAGTCCTCCTCTGAGGTAAACCAGATTCTTAAGACATCCAAGGTCTTTAAAGGCTTTGAGTATGAAGCAAGATCTGAGCAGAGTTGATGGCTGTAACTCTTTTTGCAGCTCTAATTCTCCACATCTCTTTGCACTTCCTTCTATCCTGTAATTCAGGGCTAATGAAAAGCAGAAGGACACTTGGTGTTCAGACAACAGTTGCCATGAAACTGTTCCAGGTAGGTTACACAGCCATCACCTGTAAGGGACACCTGTTCACATAGTGCTAGTGCCTGGAACAGAAGCTGGCACCTACTAGACTTCAACACAAACATTCCCATTGCTTGCAGCAAGAACCCACCTGTGAGCTGCAGACACAGCCATGCAAAGGCACCTCAAGAAGTTCAGAGCTATTATGAAAGCAAAAACTTGTGCATTGAGGGGTACACTTGAATTGTTGGACTATGCCTTCATTATTCCTTTTCCTCATGCTGACTTGCCCTCTGTGTTGTGTGAGGGCTTTCTAAAGAGGTGACAACACTGGCACTCAAGATGCACAGCAACATAGGTCTCACCCTCAGCTCTTCCCCATTGCCCAGTTCTGACCAACACCATCTTCTGCCCCAAAGCGCCCCATGCCTAGCAGAAATGTGCTGGTATCAGAGGTTGTCTTTGACCACCCTTTTGTATGGCTGGCTTAGCTCTTTCCCTTACCTGTTGAGCATGTTGGACTGGTAAATCCTTTTCTCCTGGGTGTTGTAACAGCTGCTCTTGGGCTCAGGGATGAAGCTGTGTTCAGACAGCATATCAGAAGCAGCCGTGGTGATTATGGCTATTCCATCCCTTACTCTGGCAGGAAGACCGTAGTCCCATTCATCATATGAGACAGAGATGAGCCCGGTGGGGAACTCAGATGGCACTGTGTCTGTATCCCCTGCCACCAGGCTGGGCACGATCCACGTGTAACCATAGCCTGTCAGACCCACTGAGTTGGCCACCTCAAAAATGTAGGTGGCCTCTTCCTTTGTGCAGTAGAGGAGGATAACAGGGCTTTGGAGCTTCTTGAGCTGGTTCTGGATCTTTGAGTCCCCATCGTCCAGGGACATGTCCAACAGAAGGACCTCCTCCAGTTCCCAACCCACAAAGCTGTGCTCAATGGTACTGCGGATCTTGTTCACAAAGTCCTGGTAACCAGGGAAGTAAGTAGTGACAATGGAGAAGATGTACCAGTCGTATTCTTCCATGATGTTGAGCATGACAGAGGCTTGCTGTTCTATTGATGGGCCAAACTGGAAGAACATGGATGACTCATCCTAGAATAGGAAGTCAGAGGAAGAGGAAAAAAAAAAGAAAACAAGAATAGGTCAAAGAAAATAAACAGCCTTTCTAGTCAATCCATTGAGCATAAAGGGGTAGGCACACAGTCAGAATCTTACTTCACATCTTGGCCAGAGTGTAAAGATTTTTAACTTTTTAAAATTTAAGTGAAGTAAGTGAGAAGGAAGTAAAATCCTTTTTATGACCAGCTGTCCTTACTGTATTTTTAAAGGCAGATTACCATAATTACTTAAAGTTTCAGCTGTTAGGCCTGATTCTAACAGACAGAGAGCAAGTGGTACACAAGTGAGGACAAAAAAACCAGAATATGTACAAAATATTTCAATGAAATTAAGAGCTTTAATAATAGAATTATCATAACCTTATATGTAGCATAAACAGGATACACAGCAGTTTTGATACTACAGTCACTTTGATACTGAGTTTGGGACAATCACTCTGGTTCGAGTATCCAGACTAAAGTACAAACAGAGTAGGTAAAATCATTGGATACAAACAGCTCTGATATTCTCTACTACTAGTTCCTCTCAAAGCAAGCAGCAGCAAAGAGTTTTGTGCAGTTCTTCTCAGTACAACTGTGAAGACTCAGTCTCAGAATAACATAAAATACATTAAAATAAAACAGATTTCTAAACTATGATGAGGTTTGTTGACACCATGTTTTAGAGAAATATCAGCTCAGTATTTTTCTTGGTATTGCTCTCATACCCTTCTACCACATTAACTTAATCTTTGCAAAAATCAGAACTTGTACCACTTTACAACCTCAAAGACTCCAAGGAGTTTTATACAGATCTCAGCTCTCCAATGGCATAGTAATCTCTTCTGTCCTGGGATTTCACCAGATATCAGGCTTTCAATTTATGACAGATCCAGAAAAATGCAAATCCCTGCTTTTGTCCAATTCATGAAAGAAAGGAATGAGAAAAAAATATTTGCCAATATGCTCTCTTAGGGATAGATCTTATATATTTTAAAAGCAATTGCAAATTCCTCCTGACTTCTGTAGAATAGGATTAGATCATTAAAAAACCCAACCACAAATTAAAAACAACAACAACAAAAAAATCCCCCGAAAACCAAAAACCCCATAATTAAAGTATATCTCTCTGTGTAGAGATTCCCATTATAATAACAAAGTTCTCCAAATCCAAACACTGCTTTAAGGAATGAGAACAGCCCCATCTTCTTTTAATAAGCCTGGAAAACTGGACCAGAGATATAAAAGGCTGTACTCAGGAGTTTGAGACCTCGGAAAACTCATTGTGCCTCAAGACATTACCTCAAGATAGTCACATTTAGAACAGCTCTCTACCAAATTAAGTCTCCTACAGGCTGGCAGGTAAAGCTGTTTCTCAGCAGGGATGTAGTTAATCAATTATCCATTCATCCTTTAGTCATGGTTTTGATTATCTATAGCCATTTCCTATATTGACAAAATATGCTATAGCTCAGCAACTCCAGAAAATAAAAATAAAGGCCTGATCCCATACCCAGCCTTAAGCTGCTTGTTTCTCTTTCCTGAGCTCCCTATGGGTCACATCCTATACAAAAGAGTCCTTGTTCCCAGATCCCCATACCTCTCTTACAAGGTTTGGTGATTAAACTCTGTTTGCTTCCTCCATGCAGCTCACCACCTACATGTGAAAGTTCTCTTAGGGCTGCTCTTTGCTTAGTGGAAAAATAAATGTATGCAAAAAGAAAACGGAAAAGATGACAGCAATGAACTGAAGACTAATTAAAAAAAAATTTAAAAAATTAAAAAAAAAAAAAAACAGGACCAGCAACTGGAGCCACTCAATATATGGAAAACATCTCTTGTTTTTTATCACTGGAATTCACCCCCTTCTCTCTGAACTGTGATCAGGAAAAGAACATATTTTTCTAATAAAAAATATACTTTATGTCTTTGAAGCTTATGTAGAAAATTAGAAAAGACAGAGGGCACAAAAAAAAAATCAAACTATTGTCACAGCATGGGCCAGAATTTGAAAAAATCCTGAACAAGCATCTCCAACACCCTTCATCGCACAGTGCCTTTGAAAGCCATTTGTAGCAAACTGAATGCTAGAGTGCAAAGACTCAGCCTTACTGCAACATGAAAAGGCAAGGCAGCTACACCGATGACTAGTTATTTAGTTTTATATTAAGTTCAACAAGAGCCTTTCTACACTTATGCATAAGAGCCTCTGAATTGACTGCAATTTTTCACCATTTCTAGCAGAGAGTCCAAAATCTGAAGGGCCTGGTTATTGAATTAGAGGAACATTTGACACACAGTGTCTGGAAGTCTTGTCTGGTTGCTTCCTCAGTGACAAATAGGGGACACTAGGTGGTAAATCCACTGCTATTTCGAGGCTACATGCACACACTCTCAGGAGTTAGTAAGCATGATAGCAAGGTGCAGGAGGTAATGCCCTCCCAGTGATTTAAACAGGGTCAAACTAAAATGCCTGCTGACAGTTCGTTCCACATGAGTGCACTGCCTAACTGTTGGAGCGAATTCAGCCCCAAAAGACTCAGGGACAAAATTCAGAGCTCTTCACTAAGAAGAGTGCATCAGAACATCAAAAATCAATACATCAAATAGACAGCTTTATCACAACCCAGCACAACGATTCCACTCCACTGAGAAATGGAAGCACCCCACTTTACGTCAAGCACAAGCAACTTGGCTGTGCATGCAATAATTGCTCTTGAGCAACTGCTTGCATTCCTATTACAGAAGCAGCAAGAAGAGGCAACTTATATTCAAAATGAGAGCATTAAGGAGGTGCAAGCCAGTCCAGATTCTGGTTTGCCAAGATGTCTCTTGGCACTTAATCACCCCAATAGTTGGGATAGCCAAATGTTCTTCATTCCCTGACCAACTCAGCACTCAGAGAGGGGTGAAGAAGGAAGGACAGACAATAGTAGAGAAGAAAGTGTCTCTCTTATAATAAATCAGGAGAATTGCTGATAGAGTTGGATAGAAATCTCATCCACTGCCTTTTGAGAGGAACAAAAAGCAAACTAAGAAAAATGTCCAAAAGCCACAATTTTCTTCCCAACCTTGTTTTCAGGCATGCCTAATGAAAAGTCAAGGAAAAACAAAAGGAACTGAACTGATACAGAACAGTGGAGCTATCAGAGTATGAATTTCACCTCACAGTAATGTAGTGGGGCTATCAGAGTATGAATTTGACTTCATCGTAGTGTTACAGTGAAAGTTTTTAATTAGGAGACAGATCTAAGGTGGTTTTACCATTTTTATACACATATACCCTACAGAATCGTTATGCTTTATTACAGTCTAAAACCAAAAAGGAATATTTTACCCTTCCAAACATTACAGGTTTTTTATAGAACATTGTAAGTTCCTATTTTTCTCCTGAAGAACTTTCACATTTCCCACCTTCCTTTTTTACCTTGAAACAGTAAAAATATGGTTCAGCATTGCCATTGAGAGACAGTTTTAAGTTTGGGACAGGGATAGGTAAAGTTTTAATCAGAAGTTCCTTACATTGCACATCATCCAGGTGAAATACAAACCCTAGCTACAGGAAAAAGCCCGTCTTCCTCCTACAGCCCTTTTACCTGCAAGCTCAGGCTCTCCATCACTACCTGCTGCAAGAGAGAGTAAGATGCTGCAGGGTGTCCCTCACACAGTGTGAAAGAGCAGAGGCTCCATCATAGGATCTCAAAGCTTCCAGAGATCCCAGTACTCCCCCACTGTCACCCTACAAGATCAGGGATCTGTAGTTTGAGAGCTGAGCTGGAGGTGGAGCTGATCAATTGACACAGCACCACTCCCCAGTTGACAGATGGCTTCCCACAGAAAATCTGCTCCGAGTTTACTGATGCTGGGACAAGTATTGCCTCCTCCTCCTGCATGTTTAACCCTTCAATTAAGAAGGCTGGATTGCACACTGTGAAGGTACAAACACACTCACCATAAAGCCTTCTCTTGCAGACTGGTGGCTAGCAAGTTCCTAGGTGAGGCTTTACAGAGGTAGGACAAGGTTTAAAGTACTATCACCAACACTTCTAAATTCTTCAGATTTGCAGACAGGCCAGGTCTGACCCACACCTCACTGAAGATATGAGTCCTTGGCAAAGCTACAGGTGACTCTCTCAGGAGCCCTCCTCCAGCTGCACCATTTTAAACCAATCACTGCCATTTAACAAGTCATTTACCTCAGATGTGGCAGGAGAGGTCCTCCTGGAGCTTTTCTCACAAGTCCTTTCCTAACAGGCACTCTAGATTCCCCAGGCAAGCAAATACAATTACTGCCTTAAAAACAGGATCTCACAACCCAGAGCAAAACTGCTTCTCAGCATGGGGCAGACTGGGGAACATTCACAAAGCAGGGCAATGCAAGATCCCCAGAAACAATTGCAGTGGTCTGCTCATGCTGAGGAACTGGCCAGCCTTCCACTGAGCCATGGTATTGACTGCTGACCTGGCGAGTGAGGAGATCAGCATGCTGTGTTTCCCCTGTGCAGCCCACCTGAATGTAATCTGGTTCTGCGCTCCATGCTCTGGTGGTCAGTCCATAAACACATTTTCACTAAGGGTAACAAACTCCTTTAGCTTCAATCAAAGTGCCAGACCCCACAAAGGCAAGGTGTGTCAAGTTATGCACAACAAATTCGAGTAAGGAGCAAGTCCAGAGCATTTGTTTGCTTCCAGGATTTTGAGAAATATACCATGTCATTGCAAAATGCCCTACTCTACAGGTGGAGGACTAATACAATCTGTACTGCTAAGCTAGTAGCCCCTTTTCATTAGGCTTTCGGAACATCTGTATATTTAACCACATTTGCTGCTTCATTAGGCTTCCTGTGCAGCCATAATTTAACAACTGGGGTCTGCCCTTCCTTTCCAGCTCACAGAGGGGATCCTATCAGATCCTAGTGACTCAGGCTACTGTCACTTTCCAAAGCCCTCCTCTCATTTTCCTGATTTAGAATAAAAGCTGTTCATGTGTCTTTA